ATTGATATGGCCGGCGTTCTTTTGCCTTGTTCCCTGGCTCATCCAAGCCAAAGGTCACACAGAACACTAAGCAAATTAGGGAAAGGAAACTAAGCTAGATTACCCCTCAGTTTTGTGGACGCAAGTACTTTAAGAATGTTTCAAAAGTGTACTTTTATGGACGATTCGATACAAAAGAGACTGCTTTGTACTAGAACTGAACTACAAATTCAAGTCCAAATCTTGAACAAACAAGGTAAATATACAATTTTATATATGTCACGATATATGTATTTTTAGGCAGTATCTGCATTTGAATTTGTTCCTGATCTACAATTCCATTGCGCAGCATAAGGATTTCGGAACTTGGTTGCTTTCTTTATTACGTGAAATAATTGAAGCTGAAATGTTAAACTTTAACCAATATTTAGGTTGCAGTAAAAACTATCTGCATATGCTCTCAGTTACCTCTCTCACTTCCCCTTAAAAAATGTCCATGATGGACCTAGAGGGCATCAGTAATACATGTACAATACAAATATAATACTATAGTAAGTGCATTTAACTTTTTTTTAATTATCTTATGTAGACCCATATCACGAATGAGGATTATTCTCAGAAACATGTATGTGTGTAAATGAGTGTGTGTTGGGGGGGATCTTTAGAAGAATGCAATTTCCATGCAATATAAACAGAAAGACTGTTTTACAAAAATTCAGGAGCAGGCACCTGCTGATCTACTCTAGTGCGCAATATTAAACCAGTCATATCTGTCATGAAATCATATATAAATGCCTAAGGCTTTGGAAAATTGAACTTTATGAGACTTAAAATTTTCATCCATAGGTCGACTATGGATTGGTTCAGAATATGGTTGCCAGATTTCCTTTGGAAAATGCACTCTACAATCTGTCTAGTGTATCAGCCAAGAGAAAAGCATAGTATTGAAACTTCGGTCAAAGATATTAAAGGAGGACGCTGTTTAAATAAAGAAAGTGTAACGGAACACAAAGAAATCTTATACCTTGAACAGAGAAAGAAAGATGTCAGAGGGTTTTTTTATGTTTTTGTATGTTTTTCTATGTTTAGAAGGTTTAATATTATGTTAACTTTAATATTCAGCTTTTCCAGCTTGCATGATATTAAGATAAAAGTATCGTTTGTAATATAAAAATAATATATCATTGATATTCTTTGATATGAAATTTACCCTGAGTCTTTTTGTCATTAAGATGTAATGTATGCTTTTTCTGTAAACAATATATACAGAATTAGTTTATTTTATGAGAGGAAATTTACCTTGAAAAGTTCTGCTTTTTTCAAAAAGTAATATTTGTTTTATTCTGTGAATTATATAAACTGCAGCAGTGATATTCTTTGTGGGGGGGGGGGGGGGTTATCCCGTAAAGTCTTGCTATCATTGAGTTGCAGTGTTTGTTCATGCTTTGAATAACATAAACTGTATTATTGATAGTCTTTGGGAGGGAGGTATTTACCCCGTACATACTTGCTATTTTCAAAGTTTAATGTTTCTTTTTTTTTAAGTATGATGTAAACTGTATTAGTAATATTTTTAGAGGAAATTTACCCCGTAAATTTTTACTACCTCCAAGATATTGCAAAGCATAAATTCTGTATCAGTGATATTCTTGCGGGGGGGGGGGGGTATTTACCCCGTTAAGTCTTGCCATCTTAAAGATGGGTGTTTTTGCTTTGAAATACTGTATATAAACTGTATCAATGTCATTTTTAATAGGAAAATTACCTTATAGATTGTAACCATCTTATAGATGTTTGTGAATCAAAGATACTGTTTCAGTGATTTTCTTTGGGGGGAAATTTACCCCGTAAAGTCTTGCTATCATCAAGATGGTTGCCTTTGCTTTCAACACTGTATATAAACTGAATCAATGTCATTTTTGAGAGGAAATTTACCCTGTAGAGTTCTGCGATTTTCAAAGTGTACTATTCGCTTTTTATAAGAATAATGAATACTGTATCAGTGATACCTTCTTTGGGGGGAAATTTACCCCGTAAAGTCTTACTATCTAAAACATTGGTGCTTTTGCTTTGAATTAATATATGGAAACTGTATCGATGTTATTTTTGAGAGGCAGTTTACCCCGAAGATTTTTGCTATCTTTAAGATGTTGTGAATCATAAAAACTATATCAGTTATTATCTTTGGGGGGAAATTTACCCCGTAAAGTCTTGCTTTCTAAACGATGGATGTTTTTGCTTTTAGTACTGTATATAAACTGTATCAATATCATCCCTGAGAGGAAATTTACCCTGTAGAGTTCTGCGATTTTTCAAAGTGTAATGTTCGCTTTTTCTACGTATAAGATAAACTGTATCAATAATTATTTTAAGAGGAAATTTACCCTGCAGATTTTTGTTACCGCCAAGATATTGTTAAGCATAAATTCTGTATGAGCGATATTTTTTGGGGGGAAATTTACCCCGTAAAGTTTTGCTATCTAAAATATGGTTGTTTTTGCTTTGAAATACCGTGTATAAACTGCATCAATGTCATTTTTGAGAGAAAAATTACCCCGTAGTTTGTTGCCTTCTTCACGATGTTTGCGAATCATAAATACTGTATTAGTGACTTTATTTGGGGGGAAATTTACCCCGTCAAGTCTTGCTATCATCAAGATGGTTGCATTTGCTTTCAAACACTGTATGTAAACTAAATCAATGTTTTTTTGAGAGGAAATTTACCCTGTAGAGTTCTGCAATTTTTAAAGTGTAATGTTCGCTTTTATAAGAGTAGTGAATACTGTATCAGCTAGAGATATTCTTTGGGGGGAAATTTACCCCGTAAAATCTTGCTTTCTACAAGATTGGTGTTTTGCTTAGAAATACTGCACTAGTGTATAAAAAGTATCAATAAGAATTTTGAGAGAAAAATTACTATGTAGATTGTTGCCATCTTCACGATGTTTGCGAATCATAAATACTGTATTAGAGATTTTCTTTGGGGGGAAATTTACCCCGTAAAGTCTTGCTATCATCAAGATGGTTGCTTTTGCTTTCAAACGCTGTACATAAACTGAATCAATGTCATATTTTTGAGAGGAAATTTACCCTGTAGAGTTCTGCGATTTTCAAAGTGTAATGTTCGCTTTTTATAAGAGTAGTGAAAACTGTATCAGTGATATTCTTTGGGGGGAAATTTACCCCTAAAGTCTTGCTATCTAAAAGATTGTTGCTCTTGTTTTGAATTACTTTAGGTACTGTTTCAATGTCATTTTTGAGAGGAAATTTACCCTGTATGTTTTTGTTATCTTTAAGATGTGAATCAGTGATTTTCTTTCGGGGGAAATTTACCCCGTAAAGTCTTGCTAAATTGTCAATAGTTCCTCCAAATATTTAAATTTCAGTTTATTTGTGACACTAGATCATGTATCCATTAGAAAAATGCTGATTTTTCACAATCTTATGAATAAATATCTTATAAAACTGTGTTTTTTGTTAGATTTTGTCAATACCTGAGGGCAAAATGCCTAAAACAGAAAAAAAGATTTTCTGTTTTGATTTTGGAATGCGTTTTTTGTATTAGCTCCTTTGCATAGAAACCCTATACCTAGTCTTAACTCATATGCGCTATCAAAAATTGATTACATGTACTTCCGGCCGAGTTCAGCTGGACGTCAAAGAAATGTCAATATTCGCAAAAATGCTTTTGGATTATCACTTGCAATCATTTTATTTCAATGAATTAGAGAACCCTATGCTGATGAACAGCCCAACTGAGCAACTCTTAAAGTAAGTCGGTACATGTAATAGGTCAAATCAAAAGCGAGCATGGCGGGTAGTTGTAGGTCTTGGTGATTTTATTGTACATTATAAAGGGGTGGACCTATGTTTACTTATCTTTCCTCACTTACAAAATCGGTCATTTTGTTTTTTAAAAAAGTAATTCTCCATAGAATATTAACTGTCAGAAAATATTTTTCAATGATGTAGAAAACAAAAAAATCAATGAGATTAAGATATGAAAAGTACTAAATCAAAAAGTACCACTACGAGAGATTTAGCGTGCAAACTACAAGATTAGCATTCTGCTTCACAAATAATTTTTCTTTAAAATATTTTTTTTCTTCAATGCCTAAATTTTCTTTTTTATAACTTCATTTGTTTTATTGAACTGATAATCAAAATGTAACCATCATAAATATCTTAAAAGGAATTACCGGTATTGCAAGAACAAATAAAATTGTCTTCAATTCTCCCTAAACAAAATGCCGAATAAAATGCCATTAAAAATTGATACTGAGAGGAAAAAAACAGCGTTTTTTCCCTTTGTCAATAACTCATAGATTTCAGAAATCATAATTGCTAATCAATCTACCATACTCTGCACGGATGATAACAATGGATCCTTCTTTTCACTAAGTTCCGCCTCGTTCACCTCATCGTTTCAATTCATAGCGCCTAGTCATCATTCTTTAATAGACGGAAATTTCTTGTGTGTTAAGGCGTTCTATTGTTTATGTTTTTCCTGTTCTCAGTTGCCTTTACAATTATACAGATAATCAATGGTATGCGGTCTTTTCAAGTATATATTAGTATTCTTATATAACTCTGAAATACACGACAAAATGGAGTATGCTTTAAACCAAATAGGTATTGTAGGACTTGGTGCGTTAACTGATATCGTAAGCAAATATTTAAAATTAAATAATCTGAAAAATCTTTAACATAAACGTATTTATGGTGTCCTGTATCTGTTTCTTGCGAAATTGCTGCGAACAATGGTTTGGCATGTATGTTTCTTGCAATGTTCTTACGAACATGTTGAGTTCCTGCAAATTTGCTGCAAGCTTGCAGCAATTGCTTCAATGTTTGCCGCAAGATCGCAGTTAGCAGGAGTCATCTGCGAACAAGAAAGTTTTCTTCCTGTGAACAAGTTTGTTTGCTGCAAACTTGTAGCAGACTTGCAGCAGGTCTACAGCAAGCACAACTGTTACAGTTTGGTAAGGGTACATGGATTGAATAAAAAGAGAACACAGAAACATGTATACAATAGTATATTAGCAAATTTTATAAGCATTTAAAAAAAGTTGGCATTTATATTCGACTGTTTTTTTTTTCTACAAGACTTCAAACTTATTTTCATTGTGTTTTATAAAGTTTGTAAATTTAATACACGTTCTTTTTCTTATAACCGTCTCCAAGGATAGGTCCAATTCCTCCGACAGGTCCTACTCCTCCGACGACAGGCCCGACTCCTCCTGCTACAGGTCCGACTCCTCCTACAGGTCCGACTTCTCCTCCTACAGGGAAATTTTGGCCGTGGTATACAGGAAAAGAGCATGTGTCCACATTTCCATAATATCCTCTACAGCATTTTAGAGAACCACCGCAATGATAGTCATGGTTACATGATCCAGCTCCGCCATTGTTAGGAAAGTATGGACAAGCTCCTGGCTTTCTATATTCCTGAGGAACCATGCAAACTCTTCTCAAAGAGTAGTATACGTAACAGCATTTCTGGACCCCTGGACATTTATAATCATACACACAGTTCCTTCCATAATCTCCTTCACTGGTGCCAATATTTGGGCACGTGCCATATTTATATTCTAGGATAAAAAATATAAAGTCTAAAATGAAATCAGGTAAGTTTATTTTCATTACGAATTAAAAGATACAACATTATTCTAAACTGAATTTTTAATTTGTTTCCATTATTAGTTCATTATTAAGACGAAAGTCAAAAAAGTTTGTTAATTCCAATTTCAAAATAATGCAGATTATTTCCGGTTCAATGAAACAAATGCTCTTTAGATAAACTCTATCATTGTTCACTTTCCTTAAAGAAAGGATCAGCACTAAAAGTAATATCATTTAAGAATAGTGTTTTTATGAAATACTGAGTGTAACGAAAATTAATAGAATGGAAGTTCAAATGATAAAAAATACATACGAAATCCTCCTGGCGGATATACTCCTCCTGGTTGATATACTCCTCCTAGATTTCCTACTGAATATCCACCTGAATGACCAAGTTTGTCGTAACCAGCACTACAGAGCGCAACGGAAATCAGAAGTACAAATGCCCTCATGGTTACCTGTTCAAAAACAAGAAATGTATATGAAACAAAATTCAGAAGTGTTTCATTTTTTACAGAATAAAACTATAAAAAGTATTTATACAAAGAAAATCTATTAAGAAGAAAACAAGCGGTTTTTGAAATCAAAATACGTGACTTGTATAGTGTAGATTAAGACTTGTTTTAGTTATCGGTCATTTTATTTCTAACACAATTAATTCCTTGTAGAATATTAGTTATCAGAATACGTTTTTCAAAGAGGTAAGAAACAATGAAATTCAATGAGATTAAGATAGGACAAATTTAATTTAAAAAGTAGCACAATGAGAGCTTTAGGGTACAAACTACAAGATTAGTATTCTGCTTCACCCCCCCCCCCCAAAAAAAAAAAACAAAACAAAACAAAACAAAAACAAAACCCCCAATATATCCATTTTTTATAATATTGCAAAATTAAACCTGTATTATATTTTATGCCTAGACGATACTTAAAACTTCACTGATTTTATTGCACAGATGATCAAAATGAAAACGTCGTAAATATCTAAAAAGGAATTATTGCAAGAGCAAATAAAATTGTTTTCAATTTTCCCTAAATTAAATTGCAATTAAGAACTGATATTGAGATACTGAGAGAAAAAAAATGAGAAAGAGAGGCAATTTTTTTCTCTTTGTCAACAAGATACTTACAGTGTCCTTAATCAGAAAAAGTCCGAAAGGCAAAAATTCAAAATATTTCCCCTCTTTTATACTCCGAAGTAAGCGGAAAATGGGAATCACCTAGCCAATACAAACAGAGAAGTTTGATTGATTTATAAATTTTCATCTTTTTGCCTACATCACGCATAATTTGCATGTCAATTACGGTATTGTTAAAGTTAAGTGGGTCCCATAAAAACAAAATTTGATTTAAATAATTACCCATTTGTGACAGATCGTTTACTGGATTAACAAATGATAATGTTTTTATGGCAATCTTACGCCATACAACTAAATAAATGAAACGTTATGTCATTAGTTTGCATTTCACATTCTTCGGCTTTATAAATGCAAAAAAAAAGAAAATTTTAAAGAAAAAAATTAAATATCAAACCCTAAAAAGAAAAATCATTTCTATAACAAGCACTCATAAGGAATTCTTAAACATTAAATTTCTGCCCGAAGGTTATTATATAATTTAGAAATTCAAGTTTCTCTCAAGACCCCAACAAGGAAATGATTTACATTTATGATGAAGTGTTAATCCCTAGTCTACTTTGAGGTTTTCCAATTTAGAACGACACATTTTAAATTATCAGTTACATATGCGGTAAATGTTATAAAATTTATATTCAGTCTTTTAACATCAGGAACTGCAATGAAATAAGTGAACACTATTCAAAATCTTTCATTATTTATGACTTTTTTCCTTAAAACCAAATTTGCATAACTACATATGCCAAGAAGTACATGTATGCTTTCTATTGAAAAAAAAAACTCTTGAGTAAAATTTCAAGCTCGGAAAAGATTTTACTATGATACACAGCTGCCGAGACAATTGGTCCTAAATTTTGACACTAAACATTTTTAAAATTGAAAGATAAACACTTAACTGTTGTGTACTCCCTAGTTTCTTGATTTTACAAACAACACTCAAGTCAGAAGTTAACTGCTGTGTAAGGCAAACCGAACATGGCTCGGACAGTTCTTTTGATTTTCAGCAATAAGTTATTTTTCCGCATGTCGTTAGTCTAGAAATTCTACTATCAATGGATTGTTCCTCATATCGTTAATCTAGAACCTTTACTATCAATGGAAAAGGTTTTTTTTTTAACCTTTCGGGCTTTATCAAGTGCCAGTACATCACCAAAGCCCTAATACGTCTGTACTAATTACACGGTCAATTTATTAAGTAATTTTTACCCATGTTTTACATGTAGTCACTTTCCAAGAAAATCAACACAGGTAAGAAGTCAACCGGTATGTAACTTCTTTTCAACTACACATTTACTTATTCAGTATCCTATATTTTCAACTTCGACACACGATCATTAAGAGACAATTTATGGTGACAGTCCGTGACTCAATGTCCTTGTACATGACAAAAGCGTTGTTGTCTTATTTTTTTTTATTCATTTTACAGGAATTGGGTCGAATGCGCGCATAAATGCCTATAATCGATCTCTCCTAAAGCATTATTGGTATATTATACACATACCTGTATGTAACTTGCATATTGTTTGCCTTTGATGGTAGCTCGTATTTGGTATATGAATGTATTGTGCAATAATTTTCAAATATTTTGGGAGGATGTTCAGCGTGAATTTTTGAAGGTGTCATTTAAAGACGTGTTACAGGGGAGATCACTTTTTCTAATAAAGGTATTTATATACTGTCAGTACTGTTCGGATTTACCGTTACATGTACATTATTCTTTATTGTCATATAAAAATGAAAATATTTGTTTTATTGTCATCTAATAAATAACAGTAATCAAGCAATACTTGTGTGAAATTCTGTTTGCAATCATCATTCGTATATCTGTGGAATTTCCTACACCACTTATATTAAATACTATAATAATTATACATCTTTAAAAAAAACTTTTATATAGGGGCTTACAAATAAATTTCTGTAACACTTGTCTAAGAACAAAAGAGAGTGAAAGATGTACCTGCGCTAACCAATTTTTCTGCCTTATCTTAATTTCATCATAACATTTAAAAACACGATTAAATCTTAAAATTGATTTTTAAGCTATTAATTTACAGTCGATTGACGACAGTGTGCTAAACACAGTCGTCATGATTTATTTAACTGACAAGAAAAAAGTACATACCCGACCTGCAACTGGATTATTATATTTTCTAGCTTACTAGTAATATGCATTTATTTAGTTACCGTTATTCTATTAACCGTTAAGGTAAATTAATTGTTCAAGAAAAATTCTTGTTGGTATAAACAATTCTAGTAACACTTTTCTTCAGTAGTTCATGGTAAAGGTACGAAAGTGAAAAGCCTGTAAAATTTTCAGGACTTTTGAGTGCTCAAAAAAAGTATGTCTTTCATTCTAGACCTGCCCTACATGAAAATACTTGTCGGACGATGGCTATATCACTGTGAAAAAACTAACTTCAAGACACAGATATTCAGTTTTAATATTTGGTCCGCCTCGTTTAAAGGTCTGGGGGGACCTAATGCGATAACATATAAGGTCCGCCTTTTATAAGAAAAGGTCCGGTCCGTATAAGAAAAGGTTCGCCTACGTTTAAAGGTCCGGGTAGTATAAAATGTTATAATCTTGACTTAAATACGTAAAATTTAAGAAAGTTTGTTTATTTCGTATGAAGAAAGAAGGGTTTACCTTGCCGTGTTTATTTTTTCGTTCAATATTATCTCTGGGCAAGATTTCCTTTTCGTTGTTCAGTGTACCTTTAGCAGTGTTGTTTAGGACAATGTCCCAAAAAATAAATATAACAAGCATTCTGAGAGTATTGCATTAGCAATACTAGTCCCCTACCGGCAAGTGTAATCTGGTTCAGGTTAAGAATTGAAAATGCCATAATTCCGTAAAAAATTAATGAAGCGGCCAGAAATGCAAACCTGATCTATAACTAATCAAGGTAAAGCCACATACCAAAAATCAGCTCAATATCTACAAGCGTTTAGAAGAAAATTGCGGAAAATCCTTAAAAATTGAAAAGGCCGTAATTCCGTCAAAAATCAATGAAGCGGAACGAAATGCAAACTTGATCTGTAACTCATCAAGATACACTCACATACCAAAAATTAGCTCAATATCTGCAAGCGTTTAGGAAAAAGTGCGGAAAACCAAGTGGGACAGACTGACAGACAGACAGACAGACAGACGGACGGACAGACTCAGAGGAAACCTATAGTCCCCTCCGGTTTCACCGGTAGGGGACTAAAGAAATGCAATAATTATTGTGTTGTTATTTGTCCCCCCCCCCCCCCCGCCTTTTGCGTATGTAAATTAGGATGATTAAATGTGTGAAATCTGCCGGTCTGTATAGGTAATAAAACAATGGGGTTGTTTAGTAATCCTACCTGTACTTGCAGGTGGGCCCGCGGCAGGTAGCAACCATTACAGTGTAATGATCATGTGTTTGCCTTTTATTCATAGATCTGAATTATTATTTCAAAAAGTTATACCAGGGAACAAATCGCAGTAATTTTATGATATCCATGTACTTTGAAATTGTGATTTATTTAATTATAGTCTATTTAATAGAATATTTTAAGACATTTTCATCCGAAGTATAGAGTTTAACTGATAAACCGATTTATAAAAAAGTTTTTCTATGCTTCCATTTTGTTTTTACAATTGCCTTTTGTTTTCAGTTTATACTTATATTTTAGTCCTTTATTTGTGGATACAGTAAATTGACTTTACCTAGGGCAATTTAAAACAAAAAAAAAAAAAATAAAATAAAAAAAAAAAAAAAATAAAAAAAAAAAAAAAAAAAAATTGGTAGCCCTCTTCCAATCGACTGGCTGAAAATGGCCCGACTCATTTTTTTTTTTTTTTTACTTCCAGCGAGCAAATTTTTTTCTTTACATTTCTGAAAAACAATTTGAAAATTCAGCATTGATGTTGAATATTTTTAGGAAAAAAATTTTCCACTGCATCTACATGTACCTACCGACCAAATGTTTTTGGGTCGGGATAAGGCATGCAAACATTTTTTTAAAGTGGCCTAATGTTGTATTCGATCTACATGTATATCTACTGCTGAAACAAAATACATGTGATGTTAAAGCTTTAAACAGGTAACTCAGTGCCGAGAACATATATACATCCAGGAATTAAAGTCTAGTTGTTTAGATTTAATTCTTTCTTATAAAAGTATCATTCCTCTTCGACACAAAGAACTTGTAATTTCTTTGGGGGGAAATCATTTTGTCGACTAGAATCGTTTTAGTCCAGTTTTAAGTTAATTAAGGAATAACTGTCTAATTTTTTTGGATTCATGATGTGATCAATCAAGTGGCTTGCGTTATAATTTGCATAAACGCCGAAGGCGTTTATGCATAAAATTATCACGCAAGCCAATCGATTGATCATCGTCATGAATCCAAAAAATCTGACAGTTATTCCTTATATTTACATGCTCCTGATTCGGCAAATTCCCGTGCTAATAGCCCCGCTTCTGCCTCTATTTGTCCTGCCCCGCACGTGATTTTTTTAACTTCGCCTATCGATGAACCAGTAGATTTATGTAGTAATAAAGTATTTTTACAATTTGTAATTTTATCTCGGACAAAGACATTGGAAATGTAAATATTAGAAAATAAATGCATCTTTTTTAAAAAAAAAACACTGATAATTTATTTAAGTCATTTAAATTATACTCAATCATTCTAATGTGGTAAGCATGGTGGAAATAATACATTCTGCCTCATGAAAGAATTATTGAAGTTTTCATACATATAAATCATACTATACATTGTTTCTGATATTCCCTTTTTGAATAATGATATATGAATATTTTCCGTATTGGTTGGAGAAATTTTCGGATATGCAATATTTTCAGTAATGTACCACAGGCGAGGAAGGGAAAGGGGGAGTGTTCCCAACACGTTGTATATATGCAGTTAACCCCCCCCCCCTCTTTTTAATGCTGTATGATACAAGAATTAACGGATACAGTACAACTTTTTTTAATGGTAGAGTGATTCTTACATCCTCATATGTTTTGATTATATGTGACGAAAAGATTCTATTTTGATATATGCACACCTCAGTTCCATTTTCCGCGGTTCTTCTTTATCGTTTTATCGTTACTATCATACGACTATTCCGTGATTTTATTTTTTATTTTAAGGTGTACCTCTTCCGTTAGCAAGGTAAAAATCTTTTGCATCAGTTGTAATTGTATCTTTGCGTACATTTCCTTTTTGCATCGGTAAAGAAAAAAAAAATCAACATTTTTTAAAACATTGACTTTTCTTTAGTAATATCCAACGTACTTCATATTGAAAATAATGAAAACATATATTCAATTTATTTCCTCACGAGTAAATAACATATGTCTTAAATGTATGTATTCGATGTCAATGATTCGGTGGCGCATTGGTATGATTGCTGGTATGTATAAATGTCATTCCGAGTTCGAGTCCAACATTTTCCATTTATGCCTTTTTAATTTTTTTTCCTTGTGTATCTTTGCTATTTTTTCTTTATCATTCTTTATAATGAAATTAATTTCAAGAAGTAATAATATACACATTACACTTTGAAAGTATATTATATTTAAGATATCTTACTGCTGAAACGCAGCATAATAAAAGGTCCACCCTCTGTATTTCAGATAGACAAATACCTTCCTGTTACAAAGCGAGATTTATGGACGGGGTTCATTTCCATAGCATACACACTAGAGAAAGTGGCAGGGCGGACCTTAGAAAGGAGCATCATAAAAAGTCCACCCTCTATACTTTAGATATCTTCCTAAAACAAAGCAAAAATTATAGACATCATTTCCGTAGCATAAACACTAAAGAAATGGCATGGCGGGCTTAAAACGCAGCATCATAGAAGGTCCCGCCCATTTTCCTCTTTCAAAGCAAAACCTATAGTTAGGAATCTTTTCCGTAGCATACACACTAGAGAAAGTGGCAGGGCGAACCTTAAAACGCAGCATCTTAAGGTATGTCACTCGTAAAATTAGTTATACCAAGAATTTTTTGAGAAGTATATTTTAAATAAGTAATCATATAGCATGACTCAATATCGCAAAGAAAATGGGGGGTCAGTGTGCATCCTACCGAGCTAGGGTACAATTAAGTTGACCTTTTTGCACTTAAATTGTAACTCTTTGGTCAATCACTTTAATCTTTATCATATTTTATCAGATGTAATTTAGGCAATAAATATAATCTTATTTTACGTAAAATAGTTTGAATGATATTTTATCATTTAACAAATCATGCAAATTAATGCGCATAAATTATTGTGTGACCTTTTTGTACTAAAAAGTATTATATTTGGGGTATAAAATATCTAAATAGGCAATAAAATATTTTCTTGTATCAAACTTTTTATGACTTAAGTGCTGATCGGTTGGAAGTATTGTGTTGTTTAAAATTATGAAAGAAAAAGTTGGGGTCAGTGATGTAAATTTTGATAAATTGGTCAAAATTTGCGATTTTCAGGCAAAAAACGGTGTAAATTTTATCTTGACTTCTTTAATATATCTTTATTTCTTGGCAAAGTCTGTTGAGTGAATGTGTAAAATTTATTCTAAAAATATAAATGGAGACCTATATTTAATATTCCTAGCATATCATAACGGAAAATTTTCTCTTAGTAAAAATATTTGGTGCTATAGTTCCAAGACATTAAATCTAACAAATGTGGAGATTTGAAGAATTTTCTTCTAAATATCCTTCCACCACAAGAAATAGTCCCTCATAAATCTTGCTTCTTTATGAATGTCTGAGCAGTTTTTTCATTGAATGTTGAATAATTTGCATTGTTTAATTTAAATATGTTATAAAAATTGAATTGTATTAAATAGTTTTAAAGTTAAGGGTTCTGACTAAACTTTTCTAAAACGCTGACGAGTGACATACCTTAAGGGGATGAAGGACACATGGTCACATGACTCTGTTAGACTACGTCATAGTCTCCATTTATATAAGTGCAAAACGTGTAAAGCATCAGTTCTTGCATAAATTTTTGACAATTTTTTACCATCTTAAATAAAAAAAATAAAAAGTTTAACATTCTTGTAAACATCAACAAATTATGAAAAAAGATTGATCCACCACTCCGTTTCTTTAAACTGCGCGTCCAACAAGTCGGTGACGTCATACACGATCTGTTAGTACAGCAAGATCATACTCCCTGAATACAGAGGCGGTATTATTATGTAAAAACAGGTCATAATCAGTATATGATGAAATATTTCGAGAAACGGGGAACACAAAAATTATTTTTGCATGGCTGATGACGGAAATCTCATGCAGGTATATCGTATTTCGCTAATTTAGCTTACGTGTGACGTCATAGTTGGTTTTTCCCGTACTCGAGAAATGTCTACATGACAAGTTTTTGTCCTGCTTACGTCGTCTTTAACGATGTCCTGTGCAATATTGAGGTCAGTTTCACCATTCGAAATTTTTACAGCTAATCAATAATTTGAAGGACTTGCATTTCAACATAAATTAAAAAATATTGAATGATAGAATTTTTTGTAAATTATATTTTTTGTTGTTTAAGATGTCTTAAAAAGTTCGTAATTTTCCCTATCCAGATGCAGTGTGAAAGATGAAACTTTTTCAAATTTTAAACCATATTCATACTCTGAAATATTTTAAAAGTGTAGGATAATCTGTAATATGATAATGTTCACCTGAGGGTTAGGAAACATTCTATGTACCATCGAATGAAGGTTGTTGTGACGTCACGGTAATAAAAGCATGGCTCGTATAGAAATCCTCGTTATTATGATGAACCCAGAACATAACATGGTGTCAGAAGTGGCTTTTTAATGTGTTTTTTCTGGCGAGAAGTATCAGCAGTTCTGCGGAGTTGGTGCATAGTTCGCGTGCACAGATACATGTACATCCAGTGTTTACGGACATTATCCGTCTAGTGTTTTTCGCGCCGGTACAGACTCTTTGTTTATGATGGCGTCGTACCAGGTTCAACCGCCAGAAAACTTTACCTTCACAAAACCCGAGGAGTGGCCGAAATGGATAAAATGGTTTGAAAGGTTTAGATTAGTTTCAGGCTTAAGTAGGAAAGATGAGACAATTCAGGTTAACACCCTTATTTACGCCATGGGAAACGAGGCTGAGGACATTTTTCACTCATTTGGATTGGGGGAAGAGGATGCAAAGAAATATGATACAGTTAGTAACAAATTCCAGACACATTTCGTGTCTCGCAGAAATGTCATCTTTGAAAGAGCCAAATTTAATCAAAGAAAACAAAAAGAAGGTGAGTCCGCAGACAGTTTTATAACAGCACTGTATACATTAGTTGAACACTGTGAGTATGGAGCACTAAAAGACGAGATGATTCGAGACAGAATAGTTGTAGGCATAAGAGACAGCAAACTATCAGAAAAACTTCAGTTGAATCCACAACTTAAACTTGAAGAAGCTGTTAACCAAGCACGTCAAAAAGAAGCTGTCCAGAAGCAACAAGCTATTGTGCGCAATGAACTTAGCTCTTTCTCTGGAGGAACAGCAAATGTAGATGCTGTAAGTAATTCCAAGAAATCGGCAGTAAGAAAGAAACATTTTCAACATGCTCAATCTGGAAAGTCTGGCAAAAAAGAGTTCGTAAAACTATTTGGAGGACACAATAAAGGCGCATCATCATCATGTCACAGATGGGGTTATTCGCAAGCCCATGGTAGGTATGGATGTCCAGCCAGAAATCAGAAATGCAACAAATGCCATAAAATTGGACACTTTGCTCGAAAATGTCAAAGTCTGCATGAAATCGCCATAGAATCGGATGAAAATGAAGAATTCTTGGGGGCAATACATGGAGCTTCAAATTCCGGTAACTGCAAACCATGGTTGACAACCATCCAAGTTAATGGACATTCAGTTGAATTCAAAATTGACACCGGTGCGGATGTTACAGCAATACCTGAACAAATATTAAAGACTTTGAATGTGAACAATCTACAATCCTCGCAGAAAATTCTTAAAGGCTCTGGTAGAAACACTTTGAATGTGATTGGAAAGTTTCGCTGTGAATTTTCTCTGGAAAACCGCAAAGCACATCAAGATGTATACGTCATTCGATGCCTCAACAAATCACTTCTTGGTAGACCAGCCATTGAGAAACTAGAAATTGTCAGACAGATTGCAAGCCTGCAGCTGCACTCTGATTACAAGCAGAAATTTTCTTCACTTTTTAAAGGACTTGGAAAACTACAGGGGGAGTACGAGTTAAAGCTAAAAGAAGACGCACAACCGTACGCAGTCACAACGCCAAGGATGGTGGCCTTACCCTACCTAGAGAAAGTCAAAGCCGAGCTGCACAGAATGGAGAGCGCAGGAGTTATCTCACCTGTAGATGAGCCAACAGACTGGTGTTCAGGTCTTGTTGTGATACCAAAGAAAAACAACTGTGTTAGACTTTGTATCGACTTGACACAACTCAACAAGTGGGTAAGAAGGGAGAACTTTCAACTACCAAGCACAGAGGAGACTCTCAACAGACTCGCAGGAACCAAAGTTTTTTCCAAGCTAGATGCGAACAGTGGATTTTGGCAGATACCTCTGGCTCCAACATCTAGACCCTTAACCACGTTTATAACACCATTCGGGTGATATTGCTTCAACAGATTACCTTTCGGTATTTCATCAGCCCCAGAGTACTTCCAAAAAAGGATGCAGATGATCTTATCTGGTTTTGAGGGAGTTTTATGTCAGATGGACGATGTACTCGTGTTTGGAGCCTCTCAAGAGGAACATGATAGCGGTCCGAATTTCTTAAAGTGGATAAAAACCCTGTATTACAGCCCTATCTTTAGACTAAAGAATAATGGATGGATTTCAAAAACATGTAAAATGAAAAGAGGAATCAGACAAGGCTGTCCAATATCAGCCATTTTGTATCTTTTTGTTGCGGAAATTTTGTCTATTAAGATTAAAGAGAATGAAAGTATAGAAGGTTTTCAAGCTGATTACATGGGAAAAGAAGTAAAAAATTTACAGCATGCTGACGATATGACACTGACATTAAAAAATATTGAATCTCTAATACAAACTTTGGAAACTATAAACAATTTCTGCATCCATGCAGGTTCTAAAATAAACATTAATAAAACTGAATGCATTCTTCTTGGTCCTTTAAAAAATCTTTTTAGAGAAATAGAGGGCATTACAGTAACAAACGAGGCAGTAAAGTGTCTAGGTATTTATATAGGTCACGATAAAATTGAATGTTGTAATAAGAACTGGATGAAAGTCTATCATGAAATAGAGACTCTATTTGAATCTTGGAAGAGAAGAAAATTAACAATATTTGGGAAATGTACTATAATAAACTCTTTAGCGCTAGCAAAACTCATTTACATAGCAAGTATTTTGGAAACACCCAATGGAAGTTATATTAAAAACATTAATAGACTAATATTCAATTTTATATGGAATAAAACTGATCGGATCAAAAGGAACACAATGGTTGGCCATGTTAAGGATGGTGGTTTAGGGATAACTGATATTGAATCTAAGTTTAGAGCACTAAAAGCCACTTGGGTTCGTAGATTGAAAGAAACAGATCACTGCATAAAGAGTTACGTAAATAGTTACTGTATTCCAATAAGTATAGATATCGATTATGTGATAAATACAACGGAAAATAAAATAGAAAATTACGAAATAATACAAAATATGCCTTTATTCTATAAACAAGTATTCACCTGCTTCAACGCATGCAAACATATACAAGACAACCTCAATATTGAAAATTTTCTTAAACAACCGATATGGTCAAATCTAAGATATATATATAAAGGAAAAACAATTTTCTTTAAAAATTGGCTTAAGAGCAGTATATTGTTTGTTAAAGACATATTTTCCGAAAATGGGACTTTAAAATCACCAGATGAAATGGCAGGGATATTAATCAATAAGAGTAATTGGTTATGTGAATATAAAATAATAAAATCAATTTTCAAGAAATATGAAGAAAAATATGATTTCAATGTGTGTCAACATTATAAGGAAATGTCATTAAATACCCCATGCTTTAATAAATATTCAACAAAATTCTTTTATAATGAATTTTTAAAGAGCAAATTTCAAGTTCCAGTTGTGCAAGCAAAATATAATAAAGAGTTTAATATACTTAAAAGCGACTGGGAAAAAATCTATATAAATAAGATAGAGTTAATGAAAGATAAACAAATCGCGGAATTTAACTATAAGCTAATAAATAATATACTATCAAATAATTATTTTGTAAGCAAGATAAACAAAAACTCTAATTACGTATGTAAAATATGTAGCGAAGTTGTAGAAAATTCAAAGCACCTAATTTTTGAGTGTGCAAATGTGCAGCTTTTATGGAATAGAGTGAGTGATTTTCTAGGTTTTGATGTAAAATGATATGGAAACACATAATTTTTGGTTTTTACAATGTTAGAAATGAAACCACTGTCATATATAATTTACTGTTGTCTTTTGTGGCTTTTAAGATATATAAATATAAAATGTATTGTCGATTAGAAAATGTTGATGAAACAGCTGAAGGAATATTACTTAATTTAAAATCTTGTATTTTAAAGTATTCTGAAATTTTACATGCTGTGGGAAATACAAATTATTCCTTATTTTTCAAAAAATTATTAAGAAAAATGTAGATGTTTATGTCTTTGAGGGGGACCAGCCCTCGGGACGTACGTAAGAAGGGAGGTAAAATTAGAGACTCTGAGAAGGTGATAGATTTACCTCCCTTCTATATATCGTAAATATATATTGTTTACATATGTAATGTAAAATACCGACGATTTTCCTGACAGCTATACAGTATTTGTTCGTTTAAAGTTGTATAATTATATTTATTACTTTGTTTGCACATATTATCTAAGTATTCTACGAAATGCTAATTTCAAATCAAGAAAATTCAACATGTATATGTAATTACAATGTTATACTTGTAATGGAGCTTAGTCAGGGCCCCATCCCTGGCAGCTGCCAACGTATTAGTATATATATATATATATATATATATATATATATATATATATATATATATATATATATATATATATATATATATATATATATATATATATATATATATATATATATATCAAAAATTGTTAATAAGTAGGATCTGGGAAATAAATTTGAAAAAAAAAAAAAAAGTCTTTCAGACTTTCTCCAAGAATGATGGATTTCGACATCAAACCAGTAGCCCTCACTATCCACAAGGAAATGGAGAAGCAGAACGTGCCGTACAGACCGTAAAACGTTTAATAAGAAATGCAACCGACCCCTACCTCGCATTACTGGCATATAAAGCAACACCCTTAAATAATGGAAGAAGCCCGGCTGAACTTTTAATGGGGAGAAAACTTCGGACAACACTGCCAGAAAATCCGAAAAACTACTACCCAAAATGGCCAGACTTGGAAAAAAGTACGTCAAGTAGAAGAACAATATCGTCAGAACCAAAAACGTAACTTCAACAGAGCAAAGAGAGCAAGACCGTTATCTCTGTTGAACGCTGGAGAAACCGTTTGGGTGAAGGGAGAAGGAGGAGGAACAACTGGGACAGTTGTAGCCAAGACACAACAGAGCGACCGTTCTTACATAATTGAAACGGACAATGGATCAGTTCGCAGGAATCGACGACACTTGGAACCAGCCAATATGTTGAAGGATGAAGTATTTGCAAGTGGCACATTCGATCAAGATAACAACATTCAGAGTGTTAAAAATCCTCCGTGTGATATTGTGTGTGGTGAAAAATTGTCGTGCGCAAGCCAAATCCAAACTGCGACAAATATCGTGAAAGACAAACATATGCGCGTTGATCAAAAGGGTTCGCGCATCACCAGATCTGGTAGAGTGTCCAAGCCAGTTGAGAGACTGAACTTATGACTTTGTTTTTTGTTTTTTTGATAACTGCTTTATTGTTGGCTAATGCATGCTTTAGATAAAATCATATTCATTCTAGTCTGTAATTTCTAGTCATAGTTTTGTTTGTTGTTAAAAATGCGACTATGTTTGTTTTAATATGAATTTCGATATTATTCCCTGTTTTAAATTGTAATTGTAATGTCTTGAGAAAAGGTAGATGTAGGATAATCTGTAATATGATAATGTACATCTGAGGGTTAGGAAACATTCTATGTACGATCGAATGAAGGTTGTTGTGACGTCACGGGAATAAAAGCATGGCTCGTATAGAAGTCCTCGTTATTATGATGAACCCAGAACATAACAAAAAGATACATCTTCACTTACATAATTTTTTATATATGCTTTAAAATTCCCATTATGGACAAATTAATGAGCCCGGAAACACGGAGAATTAAAGTTCCACTTAGATACTGTAGGGCATAATATTTGTCAATCAATATCTCTAAAATAAGGTAAGAAACCTTATGATATAACTGCTTTAAGATATGTGGGACATACTTAATTAGGATAATACAAAATATAAAAAAAAAAATTGAATGACAAGTATTTTTTTTCAGCTAAAGGTCCTTCTTCCCTTTAAATACATGTCAAGTTGGTCTGTAAAACCCCTCTGTACATAGTATGGGTGGATAAGATTCTCCCTAGTAAGAAGGTGGAAAAGGAGAAAATTCTGTACCGAAGCGTATTTCCTAAGGTGGATCGATAATTTAGCCGGGGTTGTTTCTTCCAAGCTCGCTGCATGTTATTTCCGGAATTTTGCATTGCATTTCCGAAATTTTTTGTTTTCATTTTTCACATTTTTATTTTATTTTCATTTCCGACATTCATTTTTTTTACGTTTCCGGATTTTTTAAGGCCCCTTTCTTGCAATTTAATGTTAACCAAGCAGGCGGAAATAGAATTTTAACAGGATATAAATATTTAATATAACATTTATGTCAAATCCCATTTTCCGATTAAACACATTACATTGTACAATACATGCAACACTGTCTAGTAAAAATACAAAGTCTAGTAATAAAATGCAATAAATAATTTCAATAATAAAACATGCAATTTTTTATCAAATGTTAATGTCCACTGGATTATATGTGTTTGAAAGCACCGAAAAACAGCATCCCCTTAACTATGATTACTTTATTCCCTCATACATAGTTTCTGTATGTCATAAATTCTATCTTAACCTTTCTGATCTCAAATTCAATCTGATTATCTTGATTTGAAAAGATGAACAAAAATTCACAACACTTACATGTGTCCGAGGATAAAATCATCATAAGATTCTTTTAAATATAAGCAGAACTTTTTATTTTGAAATCAATGAATTATTCTTCATTTATTCTTTATTTTTTTTTTGTAAGGGAAATTTCAATTATGTTTTCATTGCCGGAAAAGTACTTTATGATACATCTCAGAGATGAAAACTTTAAAATGTCAGAAATGAAAACTACAAAATGTAGGAAATGAACAATATTTAAAAAAAAATCCGGAAATAAAATCATACATGTAATAATGTACAGGCTCATTTTCCAAAGGGGGGGGGGGTCTTTAAACCCAAGCTCGTTTTTCCAGGAAAAAATATTAATGGGGGAGGAAAGTCTACAACATCGGTACTTTTTAAACTATTTGACATGTATCAGCATAATTTTGCTATACCCCACCCACCAAAAATACAA